GCTGTGATGATACTATATTATTAATAAAAAATTTTATTATTAATCACAATTATTTTTAGTGATTCAAGGTTATCCAAACGGTATCTCAGCACTATATATTACATCCTCATGCTTTCCCACATTCAAAGCTAATGCTGATGAACCTCACTAGAAGTAAGGGAGGACTGAGACACTAAGTTTATGTGACCTGTTTGATCTTTGTGAGTCATGCAGTATTCGTTGAGCACCTATTAGTGAGTTGGTGATGAATTACTATTGAAGGCATCTCGATAGATTTTATGACAAGTGACTAAGGAAGGGTTAACAGGTGTGGCTAGGTGTCAATTTGTGTGTTCACTGTTAGCAGTCAGGGGTAACATCTTTTGATTTTCACCGTTGGCTCTTCCAACATAATTATCTCATACTTAAGGGTTTGAAATTTTGTACCTCTGCTGTACAAAATTTACCCATGTCACAAAATAAATGTTCTTATTTCATCACATAAAGAATAATCATCTACTCTTTTGCACAGATCTCTAATAAAAAGTAAAGAAAGTAGAAATATTTTCTTTTCCTAGTTTATGATAGTATTTTACCTCCTAAATTTTACAGGAGAGTTGTTTTAGGTAGCACAATTGCTAAGGCTTCTTCAATCTTGTCGTATAAATATGGAAAATGGTGGAAAGTTTTTAGATTTCTAAGGTAGCTTTTTATATTATTCTGAAATTAGAGGACCAGAACACAATTGTAAAAAAATATTGGCCAGAGTTTGAGATTACTAATAAGATTACTGGAGAGTTGTGTATTCAAATTTAAGCATAAGAACCATAGCTCTACAAATGCCTTTAAGGTGATATTACTAACCGGTCCCTTCTATGGATTGCTTAGTTTTGCTAGTTTATTTTCTAGGAAGTGGGGTAGGCTTAATTGATTCTTCCATTGCCATGATGTTTAGAAATAGTTTTTTTTGTTTGTTTGAGAGAAATCAATTCGTCTTCCCTAGAAAATGTTGGCTTTCCTTCTTCTATCTTTAGTACCAGAGAAGACATTTTTATTGTACACTTTACTGTTTTTCCCTTCAGCTAATGCCATTAGTTACTTTAAAGGCTGTAGTTCCCAATTATCTAATCAAAAACAATAAGGAGACTCTAGAAATCTAACTCAGGAGAATTTCAGAACTGCCACATAATACTAGCCAGCCAGCTCTAAAAATAGTTTAAAAGCCTTCAGACTGGAGTCACCCTGGTGGAAAATGGTTTGATTACCTTAGATTACCTTGTTGTCTAAGTTTTAGACAACACCTAGAATTTTGAAGTGGTGTAAAGAGAGAGGCCCTATTATTGCAAGATTTTGTGTATGCCAAAGCCTTCACACCTGAGAGTAACTTCAAGAATTATATTTAATCTAAAATATAAATGAGATCAAATACATTTGATCTAAATTATAACCAAAAAGTATATTTTAATACAGTCCCATACACAAAGAGGCTCATCTTTGTCTGCTTGTAAATCCTGCAATTGATTGCAGTTAACGTGCAACCATGTGATGTGGTTTCAGGTCTTGGGAAACCACTTCTTAAAGATGGATCACTAATTTGGATTTTGTTATTGAATCAAATCAATTTTGAATGAATTAACTGTATGTGTTGGAATACTTTCGAATTTTATTTTAGTGTTAGTGAAATTCTAGCGCACATCTTGAAAAGAAATAGAAGTAACATCACCTTTAATGATATAAATGAAACTCTTCCCATTGTGTACCTCTGTATCAACATTCACAATGAAGACTCTATCCAGACATGATTCATTTCTGAGAAATGTGGCACTATCTAGAGAGCATTGCAATTGTTTAGCTAAAGTAAATACTTTATTTGACTTCTTTGGAAATTAATTAAGTGTGCATGCTACCACTGATGATCTAGTCTGACTTTTTAGTTGAAAAATAGTCTGGTTAGGGCTAGGATATAGCTTAGTGACAGAGTGTTTGCCCAGCTTGTGGGAGGCCTGGGTTGGATCTGCAGCACTAGGAAAACAAAACAAAACAAACAAACAAACAAAAAACAGTTAAAATGATGACTGAGTCATATATAAGGGATAGGAAAATTGTTTAGATGTTTCTTAGTCAATTATGAGGCATGTGAGATAATGTGCCCAGTAAAAATGACATTTATTGCATTATGGATCTACGTAAGTAAGGTCATCCCAGTGATTTTTTATTGTATGGCATACTTGTGACTTTTCCCTTTTTGAGTGCTGGATATTTTCATATTCCTAGAAACAAGCTTGAGCTTTGTTCTGGGACATAGCTCAGTTACTTGAAAATAGTATCATCTTTTGGGGTCTTGCTTTTAAGATTACTCAGGTGAGACTAGAGTAGTGTTTAGGGATTATTACTAACACAAGACCCTCTTGAGTACTTGACAAGTCCCAGAAATCCTGAGGTTTTCCACCTTGGCTGGTGGAAGCAGGTACTATTTCCAACCTCATATGGTTTCCAGAATTGCTCTCTATCACACTCTTGGGTGGTTCTTTCCTTGGCTTTGAAAAATTTCTATACATGCCTTTGTTGAACAGTTAGTTCTCTGCTGGGAACCCTCTGTAGATCTCTGGAGTTTTCTCTTTGAAGGCTGTCTCCTCTCTGGTGTTTTGCCCCAACACACCAGCCACCTTGTCTCTTTAGACTCCTGGCTAGAATCTTCAACTCGGTGATTCTTCTCTGTGCCTGTACCTCTCAGAATATCTTAGGCTTTGAGCTGGGGCTACTCATTTATTTCTCATGTCTCAGGTGTTACTGGTTTTGTTGATGATGCACAGTGTCTCAAGAACCATCGCTTTATATATGTTGTATAGCTTTTCAGTTATTTCAGGAAAGAGAGTAAGTCTACACCCTGTTGATCCATTCTGGTCAGAAGCAGACAAAAGTTAGATCAAATCTTAAAGGAATATTGACTCTGTAGTTTAATAGTCTAAAACTTAGGGTGAGTTTCTGAAGATATTATCTCCAAAAGAGATCATTTTTTAGGGAAGGAGCTCCTGACTTAATCAAGGCAGAACCAGCTGATTTCTTAATCTCTCTAGCTATAAAACCTGTTGTGATAATATATTTTTTAAAATTACACTTAAAGCAATGTCTCAGTTAATATTTTAATTCAGATAATGGAAAGTTACCATATATTAAAATAATTACTTTTAAAAAACCTGTTACTTCTCTCTCCCTCCAACAGATAATGAAGGTAAAATACAGTTGTTATGAGGCATTGTAAGTTGTCTCTACACTCTTTTGGAAAACTAAAACTGTATATTCACTAGCATAAAAATTGTCATCTCCAGCCAGGTGTGGTGGTGCACAACTGTAATCCCAGTGACTGGGGAGAAGGATCACAAGTTCAGAGCCAGCCTTTGCAACAGTAAGGCACTAAAGCAACTCAGTGAGACCCTGTCTCTAAATAAAACACAAAATAGGACTGAGAAATCAATGTAGTTCAGTGGTTGAGAGCCCCTGATTTCAATCCTTGGTACTCCCCTCCCCCAAATTGTCATATCCTCTGAACCATTAACCTCAATTGTGGAATTATAGCCAGTGTAAATAATCTAAGGTACATAAAAAGCTTTATCTCCAGCTTTGTAAATTATGGTGCTAATCATAATGGGGAAAAATGGAAATAATCTTAATGTCAGAGTAGGTGCTCACTAAGATATGAATACACAGAACTTATAAAGAACTCTTCCAACTCAACAACAGAAATCAACTTAATTTAAAAATGGGCAAAGGACTCAAATAGCCATTTCTCCAAAGAAGATACACAAATGGTTAAAAAGCATCACTAGTACTCAGCATCATTAGTATTTAGGGGAATGCAAATCAGAAACACAAAATACTACTTCACACTCATTAGGATTGCTATTATTTAAGAGAAAAAAAAATCCAAAAATAAGTGGTAGAGAAATTGGATCTCTTGTTCTTATCTGATGGGAATGTAAATGGTGCAACTACTGTGTAAAATAGTTCAGTGGTTCCTCAAAATGTTAAGCATGTGACCATGTGACCCAGAAGCTCTGCTTTTAGCTGTGTATATCCAAAATAATTGAAATCAGGGATACAAACAGGTACTTGTATACCAATGTTCATAGTAGCATTATTCACACTAGCCTTTAAAAGGTGAACATATCTGGGTGTGGTGGTGTACCCCTGTAATTCCAGTGACTGGGGAGGCAGAGGCAGGAGGATCATGAGTTCAAAGCCAGCCTCAGCAATTTAGCGAGGTCCTAAGCAACTTTGTGAGACCCTGTCTCCCAAACGAGAGAAAACTAAAAAATAAAAAGGGTTGGGGATGTGCCTCAGTGGTTAAATGACCCTTATTAGTTCAATCCCCAGTACCCAAAATGAAAAAACAAAATAGGTGGACACAACTCAGATGTCCACCAATAGAATACATGAGCAAATGTGATATATACATATATTGGAGTATTATTCAGCCTTTAAAAGGAAGGAAATTCTGAAACTTGCTGCAACATGGATGAACTTTTAAGACATTATGTTAAGTGAAATAAGCCAGATACAAAGAGGACAAATACTGTATGAGATACTCAGAGTAATGACCTTCATGGAAATAGAAAGAAAAGGGGTTGCCAAGGCCTGAAGGGGAGGGGTTAAAGAATGGTACAGTTTTTGTTTCAGGTGAAAAAGTTCCGGAAATGGGTGTTGTTGATGGTTGCAGAACGGTGTGAGTGTACATAATTCCATTGAACCGAATGTATAAAAATGGTTAAAGTGGTGAACTTTTTGCTATGGATACTTTACCAATGTACGTGTGTGTGTGTGTGTGTGTGTGTGTGTGTGTGTGTGTGTGTGTSTGTGTGTGTGTGTGTGTGTGAGAGAGAGAGAGAGAGAGAGAGAGAGAGAGAGAGAGAGAGAATGCATGTGTTTAAAATTTAAATAATTCACATTCTAAATGGGGTAACTGAAGGAGTTCTAAGCAGACATTTGATGCCTCCTGTTTCTCTGTTTCTTTCCTTCTCCAGGAGTGACACACGCGGCCATCTGGGCAGCATGTATTTCTTACCTCAGTGCAGCTGTTCCCCCTGAGCTGAGGACATCTGCACAGGGCATCCTGCAGGGCCTTCACCTGGGATTGGGGAGAGGATGTGGTGCCATGATTGGAGGCGTGTTAGTCAATTATTTTGGTAAAAAGGACTTTCTTTTTTCCTTTGGTGAAAACATAATTTTTCAGCAATACTTCATGAACACTCACATTATTACTGAATATTGCCAGAAGCTAAATTCTAGTATTTGTATTCTGTTTCTAAATTTCAGGCTAGTTATAATTCTAAAGCATGTGGTTAGGTTGTTAAGATGATTAAAGGCAGCCTATAATTGTGCACACTCCTCTGACTAACAGTTTAATGAGATGCTACATAGATTCTTCAAAGGAGCCAAAAAAAATGAATAAGCACATATGTTTTTGGTTTACAGTGTGGTACCCCAAACCTGATGATAATAAAGCTAAAGAAAAGAAAATTCATCATTTGAACCAGGAGAGTCTAACTAACTGTATACTGACTTTGATCATGTTAGTATATCTGCATTAACACAGCCTGTCTGCCTCATCAGATCTCCTTTATTGGAAATATAGGGGCCAGGGTGGAAATGAGATTATTCTGCTCTAGGGACTGTGACTGCTCAGTCATGGTGAGTTGGGCTCAGAGACATGTGAGTTTATAACACTATATAAGCTCTGCCATCCCACTACAGATTAATAGGGCTGTTAGTAAAAAGGTAGGTAAATGGTGTTTACAAAGAAGAGAATGCCATTGACTATTAGATGTTGCAATGGAAGGCAGTGAAAAACAATCCCTTATAATCCTTTAAAAATGCAGTTTTATCACTGACAAACAACAGAACCAGTGCCAACGCCAGGGGCACCTTTAGGGAAAGCTAGCGGAAGGGCACTGTCCTCTGATTCACTGAAAGCTGTGCTTCCTGTGCCTGAACTTTAGAACATTGACAGTTTGGGAGGAGGGCTATCTGCTTTTCCTGGAATTCCTCTACGGTCCTCTGATTGTTTTCACAGGGGCTGCTGCAACCTTCCGAGGCATTGGCATGGCCTGCCTGGTGATCCTCCTGCTCTTTGCCCTGATCCAGTGGCTGGCAGTGCCAGATGAGGAAGAAGGTAAACATTTCCATTCTTTCTTGATGTTGCTAATGGTCCAGACCATGAGGAATTCCACAGGTGCCCCTCAGAAACCTGGAAGTAGTAATAGTATACGATGGGCCTACCTGGGTGGATTTCCTCAGTGTGTGCCATGTTAGAGAGAAGCCTCCTTCTCTGCTAAAAAGAATTATATTAGGAAGCTTGAACATTCTTGTTTTGTTTTATGGTACTGGTTTTAAATTTCCCTGGTATTCTGGAGGGATTTCAATAGTCAAATACATATAAGGCTACAGTAATTTTACTTCTAGGGGTAGGGAGTGGTATTACTATCTATGCCTTTACCTTCATTTGAAGAAAATGAAAGTCTAAACCTGAAATTTGAAGTTTTCCCTGAACTAGATATGACCTTTAGTAAAATTGTTTTGTAAAGTATAATGTATAGATGAGAATTTAAATCAATCTTTTTGGCAGGGACAAGGAGATGGCAGTACTGGAGATTGTACTGGGAATTGAAACTAGGGACGCTCTACCACTGATCTGTCATCAGCTCTTTTTATTTTGAGATAAGGTCTGCTAAATGGCCCAGGCTGACCTGGAATTTGCGATCCTCCTTCCTCAGCCTCCTATGTCGCTGGGATTACAGGCATGCACCACTTGTTAAAGCATTTTTTTTTTTTTTTTTTTTTTTTTTTTTTTTTGGCGGTGGAAGGACCAGGGATTGAATTCAGGGGCACTTGATCACTGAACCATATCTTCAGCCCTGTTTTGTATTTTATTTAGAAACAGAGTCTCACTGAGTTGCTTTTGCTGAGGCTGGCTTTGAACTTGTGATCCTTCTGTCTCAGCCTCCTGAGCCACTGGGATTACAGGTTTGTGCCACCACACCCAGCTTAAATCAACTTTTTAATGAAAAGGGTCAACCAGTAGAATACATATAACTCTTGCTCAGCTCCTTAGTTCCTGTGCAGGGATAGTCTTCTTTGGCTGTCCTATCCTTCCATGAGCCCTGGCTTCAAGTATCCAAAGTACTTCTGTCAGGACAAAAACTTACTTATTACAGAAACCACATAGGTAGATTTTAATCACTTTGAGTTATTCAGAAAAAAAGAGCAATATTGGGTTTCTTACTTTTTTTCTTTATAATCTCATATGGATCATACCTCTTACAAGTCTCAGTTTGAGCCTTCAGTAAAAAGCTTCCAGATAGCTTTTGCTGTTTTGATGCTACCTTTAAAATTGCAATCCTCCAAGGGGACTAAAGCGCATTAACTGTAACCTATGCTCCATACAATGTTATATCTAAGTTAAATTGAAAACTAGATTTCTTAAATAAATATAAGTTAATATCTATTAAGCCCTATGAGGAGACCAAGCAAAGAAGTCGTGCACCACATAAAGAAATCCTTGGTAAACAAAAATTTATTAATGTTGCTAAACAAATTAGAATGGGTTTATAGAATTGTCAGTTTACTTATTTAGTTGAGCCAGAGTCTCACTCTGTTGCCCAAGCTGGTCTCAACCCCCTGGGCTCAAGGCAGCCATTCAAGTAGCTGGGATTATAGTTGTGCACCACTGCACCTGGCTTATTTGCCTTTATTTAAATATGTAGAAAACTGAAAAATAATTTAAACATTATTTTCTCTCCAGACAAGACAATGTTGGCAGAAAGGATTCCTGTTCCCTCCAGTCCTGTTCCCATAGCAACCATCGACTTGGTACAGCAACAGACAGAAGATGTCATGCCACGCATTGAGCCCAGACTTCCACCCAAGAAAACCAAGCACCAGGAAGAACAGGAAGATGTGAACAAACCAGCCTGGGGGGTCAGCTCCTCCCCCTGGGTGACTTTGGTCTACGCACTCTACCAAATTAAAGAGATGATGCAACTGACAAGAGACAACCGTGCTTCTGAGATACAGCCTTTACAGGTATTGTCCTCCACTGGGCTAGCAATGTCACCTTCACTGGAGACACTTCAAGTGGGCTCACTCATTTTAATTATTCATTTTACATTCATTAAGATTTATCGAAAAACTGGTGGGAAACAAGAGACATGCAAACAATTTCAATACTCTGATAGCTGTTATGGCATATTTACATGGTCCCGTAGAAGGAAAACTCTGCTGAAGTTTAGGAAGGGGATGATAATTTTTAATAAATTCCAATCTTATATACTCCTTTAAAATTTCAGTGTTGATGGATAACAGTTACAGCAAGAGCATATTGTTCTTGCATTCAGGGACTGTATTTACTAAGCTCTATAGTTCCAACATTCTAGTGGTCATGCCATATCATAGGAATGCAATAAATATCTGTTGAATTAATTAACTAATAACCGAGCCACTGTATGGGTCTGACAGGACCCCCAACTCAGGGGATGATGGTTCTGCAGTGGCCTCACCTGAAAAATAGAAAGTGCAATTATTCTTATCCCTAGATAATCTCTAGTGATCTCTCCTGAGAAAAGTCAAACCATGCTGATAAAGTTAATAGCTGTGTAACTAAAAGCTGTTTCCAGACTTTGGAAAATGAGTATGACTTCTACAAACAGTTTGACCAAAGGAATGAATTTTCTTCCCTTTTTTATATTCATCTCTCCCACTTACTTGATAAGTTGTGTCAGCTCCATATTTAGAGTAGCTTCAGAGGACCCAGAAGAAACAAAGAAATAAAGGAGAAAGACTTAAGGATAATTTGGGTATTTTCTTTTTATAAAATCTGTTGAATTACCTTCATTAAATGTATCTTGACTTTGTAAACCTAAAATCTTTATATAATTTATGCAAATCTGATTCTTGACTGATAACCATATGCATGCCAGTTTGTGCATGATCCTCCTTAAGATAATAAACTCATATGAATCTTCTGCTAGGTCTGAACTCAACATTGGGGTGGGAGGAGCACAGGGAGGATTTTGTACCTTACAGCAGGGATGGGAGCGGGAGAGCAGGTGAGTCTGCCGCCAAGGGTGTAGCATTGTCATCTCTGTGCTCAGCCTCATTTTCACAGAAGCCCATGAGGGTTACGCAGCACTAATTTTTTTTTCTTTTTTTCTGGTGTCTGTTGAGAATAACAAGAACTAGCAGGTTTGGTGTAGTTCTTATGAAAAAGTCATTGTGCTAAGGGGTTTTTTCCCCATATATTTCAAAATTAACAAAAATGAAACTTTTTTAAAAAAATTATTTAGTTATTAGAAGTAACCCTTTTTAAAAATCATGTTTCCTGGGCTGGGGTTCGATCCTCAGCACCACATAAAAATAAACAAACAAAATAAAGGCATTCTGTTCATCTATAACTACAAAAAAAAAATCATGTTTCCTGACCTGAAAACTAATATGGAATTTTACCAAAACATACTGGAGTGAGTACACATACTTATTGCTACCCACCACTGGTTACATAAGTACACGTCCCTTTTTTATGTAGAAGTTCTTTCTCATTTAACTTTTAGTGATTATTTTTATTTTGAAATTGCAAATATACATTAGGATTTTTCATTACAGAAAAATCCCTCATTAACTTAATATTGACAAAACATCTTCTAGCTCTTGAACACCCTGGTCTTAGCAAGTGGCCTGCATTTCACTTATTCCTTGGTACTCATCCAGTGATTTACAGTGACTGGGGAGTCATTAAAATATTTGATGATGTAAATTGTTTACCTAGTAGTGATGGGTGTTTTGGTAAAAATGTTCCTTTATCCACAAGATATGTCTGCTTATAGTGTTTGTGTTTTTCATGCGGCTCTGGCAGTTGCACATAGGAAAAGAAATGAAAGGTAAGACATTCTATACTTATTCCTCTATTACTTGGTCCCTGGGCACTTCACGATGATCTCCCCATGTTTGCTGTGTCTTACTTGAAAACATATATAAAGGGTTGGTTTCACATTCTTTCTGTTTTTTCCTCCCAGGGGACCAGTGAGAATCAAGAAAATTCTCTAGCTGGTGGAGTCCAACCTGTCCCGCGTGAGACTCACCCTGACCCACCTAGAAACCAGCCATCCCCTGACGCAGCAGCATCTCAGACACAGATTAGCTCTGTTCACCCCAGTGTGGACCCACGTGCGGAGGAGAGTGGGGAGCAGCACACTCGGCCTGCCACTGGAGGACGCTGAGGGACCGTGTCCTGCTCATCTCACACCCTGCATGGAATTGGGTTCCTTGGCCAGACCCCATCACAACTCCTGCGGAAGGAGCCAGCACCACATACGCTTCTAAATATCTAAACTCATTAACATGGAAAACACACACACATAAACACACACACACCTGAGCTACAGTACATATGGCAAGAGAAGGTGAACTTCCATAGTCCCATTGGAGTCACAGAAAAGAAATAGCATTCAGTGAGGACTTCCGTTCTTGGTTGGTTAGGTGAATGACCACAGAACATTTCTGCCAATGCAGGAAGGCTGGAAACCAGCTGTTACACTAAGTAGAGGGAACACAAGTATTTCAAGGTGAATATTGGTATAATTTCCCTCTTCTGATTATTTATTCTAATTATTGTGTTCTTAATGCCCACTGTAAAGAAATAGAGTACATCTATAATTTTTTTTCTCTAGAAGAGAACCATTTAAAAAATTGTAAGATATATTAAAAGGTAATCAGATGAAAGTAGTACTTATACTTTTTTGTTTAAAATTTTAAAAAGTTAAGTTTCATCATAAGCTTTGCATATCTCCAACAAATATATTTTTATATACGTATAGTATATATTGAAAATAGTACTGAGCAGCAAAAGCTGTCATTGACTACTGCAAGCTAAATTGAGCTTTAAAATGCCTTTTGTTTTAAATGGGCTTTGAGAATGTCTAGAAATGAGGGAATATTTCAAAGAAACTGACCAAGTCAGTATCCTATGGCTTAACAGGTAAGGGTTTACTTATATTATACTGGAAATAGCTTCCATCACTATTTACTATTTTAGAGGGATTTGGGCTCTAGTTAGCTTATATAATAAAACAAAAATCACTGAATTCCTAAGGTTCCTTTAATTACACAGTACTATTTACAAAGAACAGTATAAGATTTAAGTGCCTGGGAGAGGGATACAATTTTTAAAACTTACCTAGTAGGTCAGTTTTATTTGTGAGGTGGTAAATAAGAAATTGGGAATAGAAAGGGTGTTACAAGAGGTACTTTCTAAAGAATAAAGAAACAAATCTCAGTGTGCTCTTTCCCAAGAAGATATAGTCAGACACTGGACAATTAGATCTGGGTATGAGACTATACATATTCAGCTATCTTCAGAACAATGGTTTGGTGAATCATGCATAACGCTTGCTGCTAAAAATGAAAGTGGAGGACTAGGGAGAGAGAGCCACTGCTTCAGCTGAATGAAAGGCAATTGGGAGAGAGGAAGGAACAGTTAGAAGCCAGCTCTCGCCTTAGCCTCTGGTCATACAGGATCATGGTAAAGCCAGAGCCTCCCCATGACACAGCTCTGCCCAGTACTTTATCTGGGAGAAGAAATTGTACACTTGGATATCTAGCTTCACCACAAAACATAGCTTAAAAAGAAATAGAGTTAAGCAAATAGTTATTTTTGCACTTGAACTGAAACGTACTGTACTGTAAATTATCATGACTCATTTTAAGTGACCTTTAAAATCAGATGTATTTATTATGCTTGTGTAATTACAGAAATAAAGAAGTGGGTGACAGGCTGAACCTCACCTATGAATGTACAGTATGTAGATTTGTGAAACTGACTGTAGGAAGTCAAAAACTTATATTGTATCTTGTGTTTACAGTTCTGATTTATTTCTTTGAAAAGCCTGCTGTTTTGGAAATGCACAGTGGACATGTTGAAGTAAAAATAAAACACATTTTTAAATATTTCTTAAATGATAAAGATGTGACCAAACAAGTAAAAGTCCTTTACTCTGTAATGAATGAGACCAAATGCAACACACCTTTGTCATGAAATATTTACTGTGGGAATTGATCCAATAATGCAGTAATTTCCAGCCTTTTGAGCTGACACCTTCATGAGTCTGTGGACTTTGTGACTTTTTCTTGTCTTCAAAGTGCCATACAAAAACATTAAAGTGAATTCAAATTAAATCTTGATTTGAGAATTTTATAACCCCTCTTAAGATCCCTAGAAATACTCAGGGGTGTCACAAAACCCAGGCTGGTAATCACTGCCTTAATTGCTTATTTTCTACTTTTTCCCCTATGATCATAGAAATAGCAGATTACCCCAGGGTGCTGAGTTCGTCTGGATGCAAAGAGGCTGGTTGCTAATTATTAAACTAGTCCTCAAAGCCTTAAACAGAATAATAGCTTATAATACATCTCAATGGCAGTCACTTCATGAAAAACTTAAGGACTCATAGGGAGGACAGTGCTCCTCTACTGGCCTGTGAATTTTGCCATGGCCCCAAGAAGCAGTAGTTAGCTGAAAGCTTCCCACGGTTTTGCAGTTCCTTTCAGTACTTCTAGTGCTGCTGGGGCCACTGTTTAAGCAATATTCCTCTCAGCCAATCTGAGGTTAAGCTGTCAATCTGGGAAAAGAGGAGCCACATCCATGGTGATTGGTTGGGGTGCTTGTTATGTGCTAAAGAAATTATTATTTTGTCCTTACAAAATTCCTCTGTGGTACATATCACTGGCCTCATTTTAAATATGAGAATTCTGAAGCTAACAGAGCTTAAATTATAGGATTACAGTCACAAAACTAGGATTCAAAGTCAGATCCTCCTAATGTCAAAGTCCTGGTCCACCTAGCACCTTCCTCCATCCCAGGGGGTTGGGAGGCCATTCCCCACTTAATGTTATGGTAGAGCAAGCCTAAAGCAGCCCTGGCCTGAACCATTCCACATGTGCCTGAAACATACATGTGTGTGGTTTTATTTCTATTTAATGATTTCTAGATATTTCCAGATAACCAGAAATCTAGCATCTTCAAACTCCTGGTGCTAATTATGAGGACACCAGGTCCTTTACACTCTGGATGGTTTGTCAATGACAGAGAAAACCCAGAGGTTGGTACGGACTCTCCAGACCAGAGCCGTGGGAGCCAGGAAGGGTGGATACATACACAGATCAACATCCTGAGACAGTGGTATTGTACAATGGCTCTGTCCAGTAGAACTTACTAGGAAGATGATAAATTCTCTATTTGTGCAGTCTAGTGTGGTGACTGTGAACTTCATGTGGCTATTAAGCAGGTGGAATGTGGCTAGTGCATTTGAGGAATTAGATTTATACTATATTGGACAGTACAGGAAGAGATCACCTTTAGGAGATATGTGGGCCTCAGTTTCCTCAACTTCTGCATGAGAGGCTGACCCTAAAGTTATGTTATTCTGTGAGTATGAGGCTTGTGACAGAGATGAGCATATGGATAAAAAAAAGGTGATTTTCCATTCAGGAATTCTTCAGCCTTATGATGCACTGGAAAAAGACAAAGGCTATCTGAAGCCCTAAACCACTTCTGTGTTATTTCAGTGAAGCTTTAAGAATACCTGATTCAAGAATTCTGAATCATTAGGCACTTAGGAGAAAGACCAATGCTTGGATGGGGACAAAATAGGTGAGAGAAAAGGGGCATGTTTCCTCAAATTGGAAAGTAATGTACTTTATACAAGAACAAGCTGTGGCTTCTGATAAGTGTGTAACTGGAAGCGTACTGCTTGTCCTGGATGGGAAATGTGAAGCAGTAAACACCCACTCTGGATCCAACTCACCTGGCTCCTCTCTACTTTGGGCAGCTAATTAACACAGGACTACTTGCTCCACAGGGCTCTAAGAAAGTCCCAGTTTTTACATGGCAATTCAGGGACCTTATAATGCTACAGTTGGGAATATGGACTCTGGATCCAGAATGACTGGAATTGAGTCCCAGTTCTGCCAATGAGGACTTAACATATATAATACACACACACACACACACACACACATATACATACATATATACATACATAAGTTCTCTGGGCCCCAGGGCCCTCCTCTGTAAAACTGGGGTCATTTTAATTAGTCTGCTTTGTAGATTGTTCCAATATTTAAAAGAGATCCCTGACACATGTATGTTCCATGACAACACCATTATGACTGTGTGACAAACAGCCTGGGAAGGAGGAGTACTGTCTCCTTCTCTAGGGCCTTGCTTTTAGTATTTTGTTGACATTTAAATCTATAATCATTATATTCCTTCAAACAATATATAGTACCATGCTAAATATATTTACCTACATGTAGTAAGCTGTACAATAAAGCTTTCAGTTCTGATACACATCATAAACACTAAATGTCAAAGATATGACTTAGTTAAAAGATAAAATTAACTAAAACACAAGTTGAAGAGGATGGGAAAATGACAGGTAATGACACTGCATAATATGCAAGGTCTGCAGAAAGGAGTAGGTTATAATACATTTGCTCCATAATTTCCATTTTTTTCTTAAGAGGTATCAACAAAATAAACAAAAACTGTATAATCACTTAAAAAGTTATGTACCATGTTTTCTCCACTAGTCATCTGAGGATGCTACTCTTTTATAATGTAAACTTATATTTCAAAAAGGTAAGGAATTTTTTGTTAATGGAAAACATCAATGGGATCTCAGAAAAATAACATCTAGACCAGTGCTAGGGATGATGTTATATCTGAAGTATTGCTGGTATGTGACAAAATAGAATTGAAGCTTTAATGGTTTGGAGATGAAGTGTCCCCCAAAAGCTACTTTCTATATTAATGAGATGAAATGATTGTATTGTGAGAGCTGTGGCCTAATCAGTCCAGATTGGTGTTTACTGTAGGTAGGTGGGGCATGGCTGGAGGAGGTAGGTCACTGGGGTTGTTCCCTAGAAGGGTGGTTCTTACCGTGGTTCCATTTTTCTCCTTACTCTCTTGTTTCCTAGTCACCATGAGGTGAGTTGCTTTTCTCCACTGCACCCTTTGGCCCTGATGTCCTGCCTCAACTTAGGCCTAGAACAATGGACTCTGCTGTCTATAGATTGATACCCCTGAAACCATGAGCTCCAAATAAACTTCCCTTCCTCTAAGCTGTTCTTGTTAGGAACTTTGGTCACAGTGATGCAAAGCTGACTAAAATAGAATCATTTCAAAATATGTATAGCAATTTGAGATTATCATGACATCCTGGCACTTGGTTGTTGGCCTCATATTTTATGTCTTTTTTAAAAGATGATTTCATTTTTCTAATAACTTATTTTTGGTGGATCTTACATAAGTATTACTTATGATGAACTGGGCAGACACTTTGAGAAGCACCAAGTTGGATCATAGTCTACAGTATACATAGCTACAAAGGACAAAAATTGGCAAATTCAGAACATCAACAGATATAGTCATTGCTCAACTACATTATCCTTAGGGACATTTCCTAAGAAACAGAGGAGGGCAGATAGGACAGGAAAGGGAGGAAGGAAGGCAAGGAGAGAAAAACCTGTACATTGCTTTATGGGAATTAAATTTGTGATCATTACTATAAAACACCAATGTAAAAGAAAACAACATAAATACACAAAAAATATCACGAGTAATACTTTTAATTGTTTAGCTTCTCACACGTACTCACATAACAGAAACTGACAAATCCATAATTTCCTCTAAAAGTGAACATGAAGAACAATATCCTGAAGATTATTGTTTTTTTTCTCTTTTGTTAGTAGTATTTTATTGTGATGGTTACACAGGCTTGTTGGCCCACTTGGAGCTGCTGCTTTCCAATGAAGCCTCTCTCCAACCTGGCTCAGGAAGGGCCCAGCAGCTGTCCAACTGAGACGTGCCCTGGCAGCCCCAGCAGATGTTCGTGATTCATACACACATTTCTGTACTATAAAAACTGCCTCTTGGGAGATGAACTAAGTGAGCACAAGAATTGATACATCTGATATATTTGTAATACATCATCAATAAAATATAATTATAAAAAATAAGATTAGACTAACAAAAAATATTTTTATCCCTTATTAATACTTATAAAATAGTTATCATAAAACAGAATGGATGATATGTTTTTTAGTTTTTACAAAATCAAAGTCTATATAAAGGCACAAGTTGAATCTAGTTTTCTTTTTCTTTCTTTCTTTTTTTTTTAAAGAGACAGTTCTTAATATTTTAAGATGTCTGGCAAAAACAGACCTGTAAACACTGACATACTGCCTCACAGAGGAAATATCATTTGAAAATCAATCTAGAAAATTCCAAATAGATAGTTACATTCTTACTTGATAATTTAGAAAAGCTTTACTAAAATTACAGTAACAAAATTCTCTGTCTCTTCCCTGTTATCCTTTTCCTGATAATCTCATCACAAAGTTTGATTTTAAGAGAATCAACTTAACAACATCTTAACCCATAAATTATTTTGCTGTGTTCAAATCTCAAACTTGTTTTGGCATCATTCCGCTAGGGTCAAGGATTAGTTAGTTAGTTGCTCATTTCACTCTGGAGTTTAACATCATGAATCAAGAAACAAACATTTGCTCTCTGTAAAAAATATTACAAATCTGTTTGTACAAAATTATTACAAATGTATACAGCTGAACAATTTTTAAAAATGAATCTCAAATTTCACAAAAGGTTTTCTTCAATTTCAACATACAAAAAATACAGAAAGTAATTCTAATTTCTAATCCACACATATATCTAAATCTTATCAAAACTTTAAATGTTTATCACAGTTATTAAATAGGTACATTATTTAATAATAAAAAAGATGTCAACATTGTGAGAACTAGACTGTAGGCCCCTGAGTTTGTGTCTGAAGAAGTCTTCTACCTGAGTCAGGACATACTGGGGCTGGAGCTCTACCAGCACTGCCTCAAATAGCTTTGTGGTCTTGGATGAGTTATATAACCTCCTCAAACCTCAATTCTACCATCATTAGCATTTTACAAATATGTGTTCTAAGGAATATTAGTCTCATAAAAAAGGGTCCTGTGACCAAATTAAGGCAGAAACTGCTACACAATTTCTCCTTGTTTAGGAGATTCACAATGTGCATTAGTATTATTAAAGGCCCTGGAGAAGCCCTACAATATATTTGTCTAACTTTGTATCAATCTTAGTTAACCTCAGAATCCTTTCACTGACTAAAACACTTGTTGCTATCCTGTGGATCACACTTTAGAAAGCACAGGCCCAGTATATCTCAGGTCTCTTCCATCACTGGTATTGATAGAATGCAGGAAGAACAATAGTCTTTTGGCCCAGGTTGAGGGGAGTAAGGATTTAGTGCCTTGGTTTTGACAAGTCACCTGTTCATACTTACTGGTCCCTTGAAGAACAACATGATTCCCTTGTTCCTAATGAAAGACTTCAAGGTAAGTGGCAATGAACTGTCACAGAATCTTGCTGGCTACCTACAGTACAATAAGTAGCAGAACTTACTAGGAAAATAAGTTCCCTTTAATATAGATAGGTTAGTCTTCCTTTCCAGCATGGCTTTTCTCCACAACACATGCTTTTTCCACTGTTCCTTAAAACCCTTTTGCCCAACTTTAACTGCATCCTTGCCCTTTACTCACTTCCTGGCCAGAATGAAGTCAACTTGCAGGTAGACTGTCAGTCTGTAGGTTAAAGAGCTGCTCTTCCAAGAAAGCACCGCCAAGGCCATACTCTTCTTCATGCAGACGGATTTCTTCAGGTGACAGGTGGCTTGCTCCAAGAACAAACTCTGCAAATCTAGTAAGTGTTTTATGTTGTAAATAAAGTTAGTGGTATAACAAACAGAAAGGTTTATTTCTAAAATAACATGCACCCTTGCCTCTTATCCCTTTAATTAAATTTGACTCTGCGTCACTAGAGGATGGCATTTACACTCTTGGTATAAACAGGGAGATGGCTTATGCAATCCTCCTAGAGACAGCTATCCAGGGAAACAGTGGAGAAGTAGACAGACTTATGAGCACCCAGGGCAGTCAAATGCAACCAACCACTCCTGTTGCTAATTCCTTCTGTTCTTCTTCTTATTATTATTTTTGTAGTTCTGAGGATCGAACCTGGGGCCTTATGCATCCTGGGCAAGTGTTCTATGACTGAGCTATATATCCCCGGCCCTTTTTCCTATATTTTGTAAGTTTAAATTTATTATTCATTATTTTAATGTCAATACCTCTCATCAAATCAATATTTATTCAGACAATAGCAGCTCTATTGCAAAGTCATAGTACTGAGGAAAGAGAACTGCTACCAACTTCATCATCTGTGATCCAGGGAAGTAGTCTGTTTCTAAACTAAAGTGCCTCTCTCAAAAAGGCTTTTTTATTTTTTAAACCAGAGATTGAACCAAGGGCAAGGGCACTTAATCACTGAGTCAAATCTCCAGTCCTTTTTATATTTTATTTGGAGACAAGGTCTCACTAAGTTGCTGAGTCTGGCTTTAAACTTGCCTTCTGCCTCAGTCTCCCAAGATGCTGACAACCTTATGATTTTAAAATAATTTGAACCAAGCTGTGGCCAAAGCAGCTGAGCAGAGCTTACTTTTTAGGAGCCTGGAGTCTGGAGATGGCTATCCAGGATGGGAAGTCAGGCCGGCGACAGGCTCTGCGCAGTTCCTCCAGGGCGCTGGTTGTTTCGGCATCAGCTTGTTCCCTATATTCCTCTTCAGTAAGACACTTAACCACTGGCTGTCCTGGTGTAAACCACGTCTTCATTTTCCTAAAACATGTGGCATTTGGTTGCTAGATTCCTGCCCAAGTCAATTCTCAGGATTTAGAAAACTATATATCTTAGGAATAGTAATCCCTCTCTTAAAGCCCTGTAGACCATACCTATGCTCTCCACTGTCCTTAATGATTGAGGTATACAGAACATGTGGTTTGGGCCTGATGTTTGCTTTTTTGCTTCCTGAACTATCCAATAACGTCCTAAAACCCTTCAGAAGCAAGTTCTGACACAGAATGTTAATTGTCCTTTTCTTCCTTGGTGAATTCTACTCACACAATCAGACAATTACAAGTCTGACTTATTTATGCTTGGCCTGCTGATTTTCTTGCACACTGACAGAAGCCAGCCTTTGAGATGTCCTTTTAAGGAGACCCAATGGTCTCCTTAGTCTTTAGACCAAGAAGCTGCATTTGTGGGTTATCACTTCCACCTAGTGGTGGTAATTCTCACTAAACCTAGAGAAAGAGCATATATCACACAAAGGTCTTTTATGTATAATAATTTATATTAGTTCTTTCACAACATGCCAAGAGGCTCATGACTGGAATTTTCTTTTTCCAACCAGGAAAGTCCCAAATCTCATAAAATGTAGACATCTAAGCACTTACGTATCTAATAATCTCATAAAAAGGACAATGATATTTATCAATTAGTTTTTAAAAATGTTTTGAGGTGCTTTTAAATTTAATTTAATCAGGGGTTTCCAAATCTAAATGAACATCAGAATTATCAGGAAGTTTTAAAAAACATATTTTAAGGGTTGGGATCTCAAAAATCTTTTACCATTTAAAAATCATCTGATAGTGAATGAGCTAGATTGAGGAACCACTGACATTATTTCCTTCTCCTTTTCTGAAGCCCTGGCCTGGTTTCCCAAAGGAAAAACCCTGGATTCAGCCAGAAGACTGGGGCAGATTCCTGGCTTTGAGGTTACTCACTGCATGAACCCGGGCAATTCCTTACCAGTTCTGAGTCTACTTTGCTCATATAAAAATAATAAGAGTGGTAACATCTACCTCATGAAGTCACTACAGACTAAATGACTATTTTGGGTAGTAAAGAACTTAACATAGTAAGTGGCCTATAGTAGTATTCAATAAAGATAATCAAAAGAGTAGTTATCATTTATCATTAAACTATATGGAAACAACTCTGGAAACTAGAAAGTACTATTAAAAAATCAGTGTATTATTTCTGGTTTATTTAACCTGTAAATATCCACTAATTTTTCATATAATAATTTACTAGGAGAATTTAAAGTTGAGAGTCTGTTGTACATTTTTATCATTATTGAACACACAGTAAGTGTATAAAAGAAGCATTGTGCAGGGACACACTTTGCTCTTGGCAGGTGGGTAGATAGTTACAGGGAAGGAGGAAGGAATTTCATCCTGGGTTCCTTAGGCCACAAGCCCGACAAAGGGCCAGGGATCTGGAAGTTATAGAGTGACCGAGGGACCTCTGGTCATCCCAGACACTATCTGCCTTGGGCAGATGGGCCGAGAGAGCCACTCAGTGTCAACCCCTCCACTGGCACTGCTGCCTTTTGGCCTCCACCACTCTATACAGGCAGCCTGTCCTGTCACTGGTGCATTTTAACCCTGTGACACTGCCACACATGCAGTCACCACATATATAAACTAAGTATCACCATAGAGTATCCTTCCTTGTGGCCAATTTGGTAAACATCTATTAACTTCCTCTTCCAGTCCAGTCTTACTTCCTACTCCTTGTCCTCATCAGTGCATGCCTAGCCACTGTGATACCTGAGGACGGGTTGTTTCCTACCACAGAGTCCCCCCCTTTTATCTACCCTCTGTCCCAGAAGATACATGGGCCACATCCCACTAACACATGAGTACATTCTGGTTTGTTAGATATATATATATATATATATATATATTATTTATTTTTTAGTTATAGGTGGACACAATATCTTTATTTTATTTTCATGTGGTGCTGAGGATCAAACCCAGTGCCTCACGCATGCTAGGCAGTGCTCTACCTCTAAGCCACAACCCCAGCCCTGTTGAATATATTTTTAATTAGATTAACTGCCAACATTTAAAAATCCTAAGAAGTCACATTTAAATCCCAAACAACACTTCTAGTATTTCTAGAAGTGTTCTACTATTTCTAGAATATCTTCAATGTAGAATCCATATTTTCACAAGGCAACAATCAGCTCAAGCTGAGTGGTAACTGTGTACCCTTTTTGATAAGGGTACACTGCAGAATTTCCCACCATCTTCAGGGTTACCCTACTGCCTCACCTCTGTCTGGCACAGTATCTCCCTAGCCTCAAGCATTTGGACTTATAACTCCTGGTTAGGCAACAGAGATTAACTAAGCCACATATCAGTAAACCCTTCCACAATGTACAGAACCAGACTAGATTCCTTGGCATGGCTTGCTAATGCCCCTTAATCTGGCCCTTGCCCACCTCACTAACTACCCTGATAGCTACTGCCTCATGATGACACCAAATGGGGCTTTCTCTATGTCAGGAAAGCCCTGCAAATTTATTCACTGAGCTATTTTGGCTCATTATTTAAGATTCAGTTCAGTGATATTTCCTGCAGGAAAGCATTCCTGAACTTTCTTTATATCCCATTAGTCCTTGGGCAAGCTCTATTTTGTCACTTAAAAGGCACAGAGACATACATCTATAAAGGGACCATCGCCATCTGTGCACCTGACATGAAAACAGATCTCGGACTCTATGACTGAAGACAGACATAACAAAAGCTTTGACAACAGAATTTGCCATGTCTTTCCTTCTATACTTTGAAAAGCCTTAAGCCTTAACTTAAAACCTAAGAAAGTCCTTAATGCAATCAACTGAATAATACCTTTCAATTATTTACAAGTCATTTCTTTTTCCTAACTCTTATCTCACAAGCACAAATAATACATTAAAACAGTCTTTGGCTTTAATGAAAAGAAATGCAGAATAAAAGTAGAAATCTTTAGTAACCCAGAGCCCAAGTAATTTTGCCAATGATTTTAGTAAATTTCAAGTGAGCTCTAATTACTTTGTAAGTGGTGGTGCACCTCTGAAAGATTAATGAAGACAAGAAATGGATATGGGATGAGATGATTAGAGCTCTCTATCCTTCTCCTCTCTCAAAGTGTTATCTCCAGAGTAAATGTAGTTAATTATGAAATAAAATATCACATGTTATAAAAACAAATCCCCCAAACAACAAAACCAGAACTCAATTTGTCAAATTTATGGGGAAAAAAAAAAAAGATTACACACCACTTCACATAACTGAATACTTTCATTGGGTAGTGCAGACTCCCAGAGGACATAAGGAGGATCATGACTACATAAGCAAATTGAGGCACGGCCACACCAGCATAGATTAGAACCAGGGAGAGAAGCCGTAGGGTCCACATGAGAAGACTTTTGCTCTTGTCATCAACAAGGGGTCCATGTTTGTAGCAGGCAGCAAAACTGAAAAATCCAACTACCAAAACATAGCCTGGAAAAGCAGAGGAAGGTATAATAATGTAAATCTGAATTTGAAATCTTATGTAAAAATATTGGCAAAGCCTTGACTTAAAAGTAAAATCTGTGAGATTTTAATTTTATTTTTTCCATTGAAGGTTGGGGCAGGGCGGGGGTGGAGTATACAGCTAGTTATTAGCCTTTTTTTTTTTTTTTTTTTTTTTTTTTGCAGTGCTGAACCCATGGCCTCATACATGCTAGGCAAGCATGCTACCACTGAGTTAAATCCCCAGCCCTTAGGTTGACTTTTAAAATAATACAGGATATATGGTCATTATAATAGTGATATATTAAGCATGTTTTATTTTAGCCCAATGTCATAGATGGGTAAATGTTATCATGGTTGCTTTGGTCAGAAATAAGTTACAGTAGAATTCAGACTGCTATAAACCCTATTTTTAATCTTCAAGTCACAAAAGGAAAATGTGATTTTTTTGGTGAAGGGATCAGATGATCACCCGCCTAATCTAGTGCTCAGTCCATCATTGCCTATGTGTAACTATATAATACTATGTTTCCAGTTATGATCCAATGTGAAGTGTATATTGCCTCTTATGTATCCCACCAAAAGCATTTAATTTGTATGTAACCAAACATTCACATCTAACTTCTAGTTTACAGGAAATATGGGAGAAAGAAGTACAAGTTAAATTATGCCTCATAGGAGTCATTAGATAAATCCAGAAAGTGGACATTCTATTGGGCAACTAGCTTGCTCTCTTCAGCACACTACTGTGATGAAAACAGGAATTGCTATGAATTAAGAGATTTACAAATATAACTGATACAAACTCTGGTTCTGGACTATATCCTGGCTTATACAAACCAGCCATCAAGGTGACTGGGCAATTTTAACATGGCCTGAGTAATAGATGACTTTTTGTAATTATTAATTTTTTTAAAAAACCCATAGTAGAACTAAGAGTAGAGTTCAGTTTTAGCCTGCATAAGGCCCTGGGTTCAATCCCCAGCAACTCACCCCAAAATGCCCTTTGTTTTTAGAGATGAATAGAAAAGAATTTAGAGGAGCCTACCATGTTATCTGTAATTTACTTTTTAAAATATCTTATTATGTTAACAAAGAAAATGAGCTAAAAACATAAAAATTTCAAGTAAAACAAAATATTAATTGCTTTTTTCTTAGGGGTGATAAACATGTGAGAAATTTGATGCTAAGGGTTCTCCTACTGTCCATTATTTCCTAATAAAAACAAACAAAACGGGTTCTTTTTTTTTTTTTGTGCAATGAATAAAGAAAATAAATGTTGTTTTTAGCTTTTGTTTCCAAAAAGTCAATTTTTTATTCGGCATTTATATTAAGGATTTCTCACCTTTCACATTAATACATTAAGAAAAAGTATACACAGTCAAAAGGGACACTTTGTGTGTGTGTGTGCATGTGTGTGTTTGAGTGTGTGTGTGCATTTTTTTTTAATTTGTACTTTTTAGTTACTATTTTTACTTTCGATCATTAGCATAGAAAATTAAGAAAGATTATAGGAAAAACTGTTTAAAATGGGATCCAAATGAATTTCAATTACCAACTATGGGAATAAAATAAACAAAATATTATTTTTAATGGTACCTCCTTTAGTTCAAAATGAAAATTCTGATGCTGGAAAGAAACATAGGTCAAAAGAAGGCTTCTAGTAATTACAGATTCACCAGTAAGAGAAAGTGCTGTTTTTAATTCTTACATACCAAACATATATGTTCTGTTTTCATACCACAGCCACTTGAGATCTTCCATCAGTTGGCACACAACATAAACTGAAGCAAACCAACAACCAACCATTAGAGCCCCAAAGGTGCTATACTGTGTGTGGAAGAAAATAATAACACATTTTTTGGTTCATTCATTCTTGTAAAAATAGAAGAAAACAAACGCTTTGTATTACATCTATATCAAACTGAGCTAAAACCAATCTCAAGATTCTCTCTAGAGTCTTGCTACTCAATATGGTCCACAAAACAGCGTAATTAGCATGACATGGGAGTTTATGGGAAATTTAGGCTCTCAGACTGCTGAAACTGAATCTGCAATTTAACAAGGTCCCCAAGTGGTTTTGCACATAAAATTAGAGAAACACTATTAAAAAGAACAAATTTATCTCAAAATACTGCTGTTATTACAAACTTCAACCAGAGTAATAGCAACATTACCATCATGGATTATTATTTACTTATCCTCAACTAAGTTCAGGGCAGTATGCTTTTGAAGGTGTGCTGTAGAAATAATAATAAAGAATAAATCCCCAGATGCAGCAATGCTATTAACAAAGCCCCCAAGATTCAGCATCATGAGAGTCCTAAGTTTGGCCAAGATAAAATTTTCTCTCAATATAGAATCATAGAATCAGTCTCCTGTCACTCAGAAAGCCAACCAACCAACCACATACATACTACCTAGGAAAAAAAAAAGGTCTCAAAAGACATATTGCCATAACCTAATACTTAGGTAAATCTATATAAAATAATAAATAAAATGAACTCTCCAGAAATATTATATTTTAAAGTCAGGTAATATAGTGAAGAAACATTGTTTGAATTAGGAACTGTCAATAACATAAATAAATTGATTAGTATTTTACACCTATCAGATTACAGTTTCCATTTTTTTATTTATTGACACATATCATGCCTACCTTTGGAATGTATCTTTTCACTAACAGTAGTATAAAGACTAAAGTCATTACAACACCCAGCATAGTCCCTGAAGAGTAATAGAAAACAGGGCTTCTGTCAAGACAAGCAGATAAAAGTCAGTTCAAATGCCAAGAGCACTTTCAATATGAAAAAAAACATGTTCAACATGACAACAGTAGCCATGAAGAATACCAAGAAAAAAAAACTCAGAGGGCAACTCTAATTAAATCCTGTTCTTACAGTCTTGTAATTTATAGTAAATAGCTTGAAATCAGTCTTCCAATTTATAGTATATAGCTTTCCATTAACTCAAAACAGGATGTCTGAGTTATCTTACGTATTCAGAATGTGATCTGACAACAGTAATTGAGCACCTGCCAGGTAGCAGGCACTTATCTTAGAGTTTTACATGTATTTTTAGTTATCTATGTCTAAGTTTTATAGAGGAAGAAAGGCATCAGGAAGTTAGAAGACCTTCCCAAAATACACTAACTGGAGGATTCAGGATTGCAGCCCAGCTCCTTGGAGTCCAAGCTTTACTCTTCCTGCTCTATACGAGTTGTCTGGTTTATAAAGCTTGTAGATGACATTAAGCATATTTAATTGAACCAAGGATAAGCTCAAAAATGAACACTGTTAAGAATGCTTGAAAATGTTGGATATTAACTAGCATGAGAAACTTAAAAAGTGCAATATTGGAAAGAGATTGATTTTTTCACAAATGAAATTGCAAGAAATGAAAATGTCAGAATAACATGCTTATTCAAGAGTCAGATATTTGTTATATTCAACTTTATATATCTGAGCCACAAATCTAGGAGGCAGCTCTAATGAAATAGAGTGAGGCACTTGGCATCAGAAAACCTGAGTATGAATCTGGGCCCTGATAAGAACCAGTTGTACGATGATGGATGTTGTTTTTCTCATTGATAAAATGAGAATATACAGAGTTTACATAGTTGTTATGAAAATCTAATAAAATATGTTAACACATAAAATAATGCATATAAAAGCACTTTGTACTTTACACATACCATGCTATACAAATAACTGTTGCTGTCTTTAAAGATCTTTCAGACACTATGTTCAGACCTACTGTTTGCAAAACCTAAAGCAAGAACAAAAATGCACAATGGTGTAAAAATATTTACAATAGGGTCGAAAATGACCTATAACCCATTTAAGTCACAAAGCCAAGAATGTAAAAATGAATACTCACTGACTCAAGGTCTTTGCATAAAAGAAAAGGAAAATGCCTGCCACAAATACAAGGAAAAGTTTGAAATCCACAACTGAAATAAAAAAAGACAAACACACAAAAAACATTTTGTGTCAATATACTTTTGTTGGTAAAAGAAGAGACATGTCACTTAAACTGAATCCAGAAAGTCAAATGTAATTAACAAACTTACTCTTTCGATTCACTCTTATTGTATAAATAAATATTTCCCTGACAGGATTCACAGAGAAGCACTTGGTTTCCTCGTATGGACTGATGATTATAGTTATTTCATTAGATTCTTTTGGTGCCCAAAACTTATGAATAACACATTTGATAAAAGTCAGAATTGTTTCTGGATACTGGCAATTACGCATTTCTGTGATATATACAATACTGAGCAGGCCCGGACTGGTAATTTTCACCTATAAAACAAAAGCAAAGAAATTCATAAATACAGAAGTAAAAACTTCTCATAAACTTCCTAAAAACATTAGCAGAGGAGTAAGGAGAACCCAACACTTGTTTAAGGGAGAACACACAGATGCACATGGTCATGTACTGAGCCCAGGATCCAAATGGTGGATCCTACACATCTGCATTTAATCCAAACACACATTGGCATTTTTGAAAGTGGATATTTCTTCCTCTCTTCTAGCAAGTCTTTGTGATCAAGAGACACATAAGGGACCTTAAAGGCTCCTGGAACCCTATTTTATGTATACCGTTGTCCTCCACCCTACCTCAGCTAATCACTTTTATAGTCACACCCTGGTTCTGTCTGTACCAAACTGTAGCCCCTCCATGTGCTACATTTCATGCTTCTTTCAATGCCCTGACTATAATACAGACCAGAACATCTTTCTCCTGATCCTTACACCTTGGATGTACTCAAGTCCCTTCTTACCCAGCAAAATTCCATGCATAAGCCATTCCCTTCCATGTATCCTTAACTCCTTTGTATCCCTCTTGATTTATCATACTCACCTGGAAAATCCAACTCTGCATCTATTCCACTCTTGCATTTGTGCCACAAAATATGCTATGGAAATGCACAGTGGTCTTAATTTGAATACATGACAGTGAACTTGAAGTAGGACCTAAAAGCTACAGTCATTCATACCACACATCCCTCTGCATTCACATCACCCTCCTCAATTTTCCAACACCTTTTCCCCATGCTCATTCTCAGATGATGATCCTTCCTACTTCACTAAAAATGGAAGAAATCAGCAGTGAATGTCAATCAGCTCCTATTCCCCTATCTACCCATCTGTCAGCATCTGTGGGCACATGCTCTGTTTCTCACCAGTTGGGAGAAAATTTCTGTCAGAGGAAATTAATACACTCCCTTAACGGCAAGCCCCTGACTTGTGCACCAGATCCTATCCTTTCCCTACTCAAGTACACCTCACGAGCACTTCTTCCCTCTTTACTAGGTCATTTCTATGAACATGCCACATGCTGCTATTTTTTCCATTTAAAGTAGAAAAACAACTTCCTATGGACTCCACTTTTCCCTTTAGCAATCCATTATTTTGCCTCTCACTGCAATAAAATTCCTTAATAAAGTTGCTTATGCCTGCAGTCTCCAGTTCTTCTCTTCCCATTCTCTCTTTAACCCACATCAACCGGCTTTCACCCTAACAGGTTGTCCTGATTACATCACTAGTGCCCTCATATGTCTCAACTGCTTACCAATTGACTTGTAGCCCTCTTATTGGACCCACCATTGGCACTTGGTGCTGCTTATCATTCCCTCTCCCTGTTTCACTTTCTTAGGGCTTTCAAGACACTTCCTTCTTCACTTATTGTTCCTTCTTTCCCCTCTGCAAGCTCCCTTACTTCTTTCTGACCTCCTAATATAAGACTGGCCCAGGCTCATCTCTTGGTCCTTGCTACAGTCTGGATATGGCTTGAGTGTATTTACTAGAGTTCATGTTTTGGGGGCTGGGCCCCTAGTGTGGCAGTGCTGAGAAAAGGTGGGACCGTTAAGGGATGGGGCCTAATAGGAGCTCAGTAAGAGAGAAGCTTTGTATGGGGTTAAGCTAGATGTCTTGTGGGACCCCTGAGTTCTCTCCAGAGCAAGTTTTTATAAGAACAAACCTAACCCCTGAATCACTCACATGAGTTCTGATATCTCCATGTTTTATATTTCATAGTTTTAAGTAGACCGGTAGATAGAAACAGATTTATGTGCAGGGATATAGGTGTGGATGCATACACATGATGGTGATATTCTAGTAGTAATGGACACACCTAGTGCTGAATGCACCCTGGAAAAAATTATGACTGCAGGGTTGGGTCTAGGAAACTACAACATGAGCCTGAAACATTTTTGTTTGCTAGAAAATATGTAGTACTTGGGCTGGGTTGTAGCTCAGTGGTGGAGTACTTGCCTCCTGTGTGTGAGGCACTGGGTTTGATCCTAAGCATGCCATAAAAGTAAATTAATAAAATAAAGGTATTGTGTCCATCTACAATTAAAAATATTTAAAAAAGAAAAAGAAATATGTAGTACTCAAAGAGATGATAGGCACAAGTTAAAAAAGACACTGAGATGGTTTGAAAGAGCACCATACTCACCAAATCTAGGACAATTTGAGTATCAAAAGAGGTAATGGATTATAGTCTATTGAATGAATTTGACACTTTATGAGAATACCTGGATATAAATAAATTAATAAATAGAAGGAGGAAAAACTCTTCCCTAGTAGAATGCCAATGAATGTAAAAAGAATAATGGAATTAGAAAATCATCTGATAAATATGATGATGATAGGCAAGCATCCCTAGAGGCTAGAAAGTTGATGAGGAACAGAATATATACACAGTCTCAAATTATCTCTTCAAAAAACTCATTCATTAATAAAAAAAAAATAGTAAATTTAAAGTGGAAGGCCTTGGCAGATACCACCTTAAACAAGTGATCAAAGTGTTGTATATATTTGTAGTATAAATCAATATCATGTGCCTCCTGATAAGAATTTTCTAGTTATCTCCTCAGTCTAGAACACTCTTTTCTCAGATACCCTCTTGGTAACTCACTTCACTGAAAAATTTCTTAATGATACCTTATCAATAAAACTATTCTGATGACTCCCTTTAATATCATAGCTTCAACACTATATTCGCTTGGATGGTATATTCACTGAGAGTGGTCTAGAAAGGAGCTGGAGAAGTAGGCAGAGGAGTTAACATACTCTTTCCACACCACTGCTCCTTGAGCCGCTCTATGTGATCTTCGAATCAGCTTCATCCTGACACTCGGCTACATGCCATACAAAATGTACTTTTTTTTTTTTTTTTTAAATAACAAACTCACATTTCTTTCTTTTTTTTTTTTTTTAAGAGAGAGTGAGAGAGGAGAGAGAGAATTTTTTAATATTTATTTTTTAGTTCTTGGCAGACACAATATCTTTGTTTGTATGTGGTGCTGAGGATCGAACCCGGGCCGCACGCATGTCAGGCAAACGCGCTACCGCTTGAGCCACATCCCCAGCCCCCAAAATGTACTTTTTATTCTTACATTTTAACGCCCTGTCCTTAAGACATGATTTAAAAGTAGGCTCCTACCTGCACAGATGACCACAGAGATGTCCACTCCATTTGGGAATTCTGATTGTAGCAGTAACATTTTGACTCAGAAGTTTGAATAAAATCCATCTCTTTCAAAACTTTACATCTTGGAACTAAGAGATGAAAAAAATGTAATCTCTTAAATATTTAATTGCCCAGAATCTTTTTTTTTTAATTATTCGAAAAGAGATAGTAACAGTTTTAACATTCTGTGACTAATAAATTTTTCTATAAGGTAATTTTAGTCCTTTGGTCTTCATGACCTAGCAGGACACAGAAAATATCCTAGTCCAGTGTAAAGGCTCTTATGACATGGAGGGCACTACACAGGCATAGAGAGTAAGCATGTCTTCAGTCCTGAAGCAGAGGCCAGCAGTTAAGGGTAGCTTCCCAGAAAAAGTGAAATACAAATGGATGATTGGAAGCAACAAGACAGTCAGGCATTGAGGGTGGCAAATATGTAGGAAATCATGGGAGTAGTTCAGTTGAGGGATATCTAACTGATATATTGGCATGGGAACAAGAATCCTATGGAGGGATACATGGAAACATCTCAACATTTGCTGTTGGAGAGGCGAGCAGTGCTTACTTCACACAAAGAATGTGAATTCATCCTGAAAGCAGAGCACTGAAAGATTTTAGGAAATATCAGAGTCTCAGCAGGAAACTGCTGGCAATCAAAAGGAATTAAACAGTTCAGTAAGGGTTAGGTAGTGTTAAGGCACCAATCATAATGCACTGTTCCAGGCACCAACAACAGCAGGAAGCACCTGATACAGCAAAGAAGAGCCCATGTTACTGGAGCTCTGAACTAAGTGAGGAGGGAGAAATAACAGATTCAACAGCTCTTAGGAAATGAAACCAACAGGCTTTGGAGGTTCATTGGGTGAAGAAGTAAGATAATATGAAGGTATCTTGTGAATGGAAAGATAGTGAAGCCCTTTCCACAGAAAACAAATACTAGAAAAGAAGTAAAGCTGGTGAGAGGAATGTGGGATGAGTTCAATTCTAGACACATATGTACCCAGTTTTCACTGGTGAAATTAAGTGAAAATGGGCAGGTCCATAGCATAAGTGAAATTTGGCTGGAGATGGCTATAGAAACAAAAATATGAGTATGCATGTACACAAATATATGTTGTATACCACATATAATAATTACACACTTATGATACTACATATCTATATGAGAGAGGGGTAGGGGGGAAATAAGTGCTATAATTATAGAAAGTTAATGTGGTAAATGCTAAAATACATAAATAAATAAATGGGGGTCATTCTTCTGTGACCACTTCTGTTTGGATGTGAAATTTAGTAAGTTCTTCTGAATCCAAGACAGAGTATCAAACAGGAAATATCTCCCAAATAGGAAACAGCTATAGGAAATACTCTTGGTTCCCCAGAGAAATGGGTCTGATATCCAATACCTAACTCCTCTGAGGAAAGTATGGTCTGCTATTTCTACAGAAAAACCTAAAATGAAGCTAGAACAACCTGCTATACCAAAGCTGGGGAAGGAGTGGTTAACCAGCAATAACTACTCAACAATTATACCTATTTAGGGAATAATCTTGAATAAGCTCTGATAGTTTCCTGTTCTGGTTTGAAATATCCTTGGCATTAAAAATTGGACCATGAAGTTGGGGAAGACAGACTTGGGGAAAGGACCCTGAGAAGGTCCTGCCTCCTGAAACAGTAGCATGAATGTCAGAGTTCTTAGGAAGATACATGAAATGGTAAAATTGTATGAGGACCCACGATATTCCCCTGTGACAGCTATGTTCTTTCATTTTATTTCTTAAATTTATGATGAAATGCATGGATCTTAAAATATATCAATGAATTTTGCAGTTTAAGAGCCCGAGATGTAAACTCAGGAATCCATGTTAAGAGCTGTTTTAAAGCAGCACAAGAAGGAAGCTCGAGAAGCTCTCTGTTAAATACAGGAAAATAAAATAAAAATACATTCTTGTATGGTCTATCTGTGCACAAGAGCCCAAAGGACAATACTAGAACACTCAGAGCAGCCTATGCTGAAACATTCTTGAGCATGTCTGAGATGTACCCATCTCCTGGCCAAGGGCAGTGGCAGGGGAAGAGCAGATTGGGGCAGGGAAGGGCTGACAGTTGGGTATAGGCAGGAAGACAGCGCAAAACTGCAAGAACTTAAGCCCTCACCTGGTGAGCAGCAGAGGAGGAAGAGGGAGGTTTCTGGACTGGCCTTCCCCATCCCACATTCTGCCTCTGCACAGCATCCTATGGGGTCTTTTAGCCAGAACCAGGGTTAAATGGGGAAGCTAGAGTTAAGAACTTTGTATTGGGAATCGTCAAAAGATAAGAGAGGTGTATAAATGCCACATTTTTAATCCATTCATCCATTGAAGGGCATCTACGCAGCACTAAAAAATGACAAAATCATGGAATTTGCAGGGAAATGGATGGCACTAGAACAGATTATGCTTAGTGAAGCTAGCCAATCCCTAAAAAACAATTACCAAATGTCCTCTTTGATATAATGAGAGCAACTAAGAATAGAGCAGGGAGGAAGAGCAGGAAGAAAAGATTAACATTAAACAGAGACACGAGGTGGGAGGGAAAGGGAGRGAAAAGGGGAATTGCATGGAAATGGAAAGAGACCCTCATTGTTATAAAAAACTACATATAAGAGGTTGTGAGGGGAATTGGAAAAAAAACAAGGAGAGAAATGAATTACAGTAGATGGGATAGAAAGAGAAGATGGGGGGAGGGGGGATAGTAGAGGATAGGAAAGGTAGCAGAATACAACAGTTACTAATATGGCATTATGTAAAAATGTGGATGTGTAACCGATGTGATTCTGCAATCTGTATTTGGAGTAAAAATGGGAGTTCATAACTCACTTGAAACAAATGTTTGAAATATGATATGTCAAGAGCTTTGTAAGGTTTTGAACAACCAATTAAAAAAAAAAGATAAGAGAGGATCTACTGATGTTGGAAGGAGTATGTTCAGTGAGGGAAATGAAGGAACTGAGGTCTCAGGAAACCCGGAACATTACAGAAATATTCACTTCTAGCCAGTTATTTCAACATCACATGTACTCAATGCTAGGGGCACTTTTCTTAGGGATGCCTCCAGGACCCTCCCTATAACTCCTCTCTTAGTGAAGCCTACTACTTCAAGGGCTGAATCAATTCCCACAGAAAAGTTCCCTTTTTTTAGAGGTCTGAAAAAATACTCATTGTGGGACCTAAGCTTTGTAAATAAGTGCTACCTTAAAATGGAGTTTTTTGCATTTGATCCTAAGACTATCTTCTAAATCATTTGATACCTGTAGCTCTTTAACCAAGAGCAACATAATGCTATTCAAATTTAATGCAATAGTTTGAATTTGGGAGTAAATATTTCTGTTATCCATGTCACATTTTATCTTGCATTTGGATTACAGTAGCAGCCTCCTGCTTCCAGAAGGAGCCCTACTATTTCCTCCACAAACTATTCTACAAACAGCATAAAGATCTTTTATCTCCTATTACATGATAACAAAATTTAACCTCCCTTCCAGGGACAAAAGTACCCCTATGACCTTCTCTCCTCCACCTCTCTCCCACTCAACTGCTCCAGCCACATCAACCCACTGATCCTCCTCTAGGTGCTAGTTCACCCTGCTTCAATTTTCATTTGCAACCAACCTTCTTTCTCCAGATATTGGCAGAGCTTGTACTTTCCAATAACTGATGTATTTGTTCCAATATCACATTCTTAGGAAGGACCTCTCTGATCCACTGTCTAATATTGCATACCCAAGCACTTTTACCTGCATTCTTCTGATTCTGCTTTATTGTTTTCATAATACAAATAGACTTATTGGCTCACACTGTCTTCCTGTGGACTTTGGGACAGCATGCATTTCATTACTATATCCCACAGCACTTAGATATTTGTTGTGTGAGTGTGTGTGCGTGTAGCAATTTAAGAGGATAAGAGGATTATTTGAATGGGTATAGTCCAGCCACAGAAAGTCCGACCAGTTTTGGCTAAGAGCTTGGCCAGTGCCAGTTAGCACTCCTGATGCAGCAGGACACCCTCTCCAGCCTTGTTGGAAGCCACAGGCTACACCTCCCTCTACCTACTTTATTACTGGTGTACCCTTAAGGAGAGGGTTGAGCCTATAACTCTTAATAGCCTCTGGTTAGGGAACATCTTCTAGCTCCTCATCAGATACTTGAGGGTAGAGAAAGCAAAAAGCAGCATTAATCTTGGCTTTGTTTTCTTCATATGCCGTCCATCAGTGTACTCTGTGTAAGCGACCTCCTGGTTAGAATAAAAGAACTTGCTCTGAATTTTCCTTCCACCTCCAGATTAAGAAATGTACATTACTTAAAAGTATGTTGCCTCCCCAGAAATTCTCAGGTAGCCTCTGGCCATAGAGATGAAGCTGATGTGGAATTCACACAATGCCCAAAAGAGTAGAGACAAAGTGTCAGTATTTCATGGTGTCCTTTGGCTGCCCTCCATTCTTATCACAGGTCTCCTGAGGTGAATGTACCTTAGTCAACCCACACAGAATGTCTAAACATCTAAGCGACCAGAAACTCAGCCACAAGAAGCTACAAACCTAGCCTGAAGTGAGTTCACCCATGTGAACCATAGGCATGGGCTAACCAGACAAGACATGAAATGGGGGCTATGACAAGTTTACTTTCATAGCTGGTCCACTGCCTTCCTAGAGAGACCAGATTCTTCCACCTTAGATTGATTATAAAGGTCATATCTTTCTTAGGCTTCTCTTCCCTTCTGTAAACATCTTCTAGAGAAATTTCATTGTTTGATGATATGAAATAGAAAAATAGCCAGTTTGATTTATTTGAACTCTATTACCAATTAAGCCCTAACACTGAAGATTATGGTGCTGCTGCAGGTGCCTTCATTAGTACAGCCCTAACCTTTGCTTGTTTATTTTGCTAAAACAGAACCTCCTGAGAGCAAATATAGAGTCAGATCATAAAAACAATCCCTTTATAATGAGATCCAGGAAAAGAAAAAGAATTTCTAGGAATTTAAATATAAAAATGTGATGATAATCATTTAATCAGAAGAGAACAATATGTGCCTCTGACAGCCACTGGTTACACTTGAGATTGAAATACATTCTCACCCTGGAGGGTGCCCCATTACTGAGATATTCATTTCCTCAAACCTGATTCAGATCAGGAGAAAGATCTGGCAGCATGGGCCAACCCAGCTCTGCCACATCTTCTAAGCACTTGGGAAGGTCTGTTGAACCAACACTAAAGGTCATCCTTCCTATGGCAAGGCTGGTCTCTACACCCTGGAATGAGCACCATCTTCCTTAACTCCCTGCAGTTCTCAGCAGGTTCTCTAGGGATTAGTTATCTACATAAGCACAGGATTCAAGTCAGGATTACCAGAACCAATGAGAGAGATCCCTCAGTTCATTTTAAATACCACTCAATTTATAAACATCCAACAAATATAATTTTAGGACATTAATGGTTCCCCTTCACCTGTGGTTTCACTTTCAAGTCTCAGTTACCTATGATCAACTGTAATCCAAAAATATTAAATAGAAAATTCCAGAAATAATTCATAGGTTTTAAGTAATTTTTGTTATAATATAGTTATAATTTTTCTATTTTTATTAGAAGCTATTGTTATTAATCTCTGTGCCTAATTCATAAATTAAACTTTATTATTAATATTATGTATGAGGGAATATTATGTATGAGCACATATGGGTTTTAGTACTCTTTGCAGTTCCAGGCATCCACTAGGAGACTTGGAACAGTATATTCTCCCTCTGGATAAGGGGGTACTATTATACATATCTGATATTAAAAAGGGACAGCTACATATACCCCATTTTTTAAAATATTTTTTTAGTTGTAGTTGGACACAATATCTTTCTTTTATTTATTTATTTTTATGTGGTGCTGAGGATTGAACCCAGTGCATCACACGTGCAAGGTGAGCATTCTATATTCTATCTCTGAGCCACAGCCACAGTCCCAATGTCCCCCATTGTAACAAGTTAAATTTCAAATTACTCCTTAATATTTTTGTCCTTTATTAGTTTTTCTAAACAACTACATATATATTTAAGTTAAAGAGTTTCTCCATACATAATGGTAAAAATATTCATTTGAATCTTGAGAAAAAAACAAAGTGTACTTAAGCTTACTAACAGAATATTCTAAGAATAAAAAACACAAACACTTCTCAAATCTTAGCAGATCTTAAACCGCCTCCCATATAAAAAATATTTCACCAATGTTTCTCCTAACTTAACCTTCCATGGTTCTCATATGGAAAAAAAAAAAAAACTATCCTCAAATGAAATTACAGCAGAATAATAATATATATAAATGTACTTGTCACATTATGCTGCCATTTTCTCCATTTTACCTGAAATTATTGGGGGGGGGGGGCTCGCAAAGAAGGAGAGGGAGAAGAGCAGAAAAAACAAAAAGTAAAAAGTTCTAATGTGAGCTAGGGTGTAGCTCAGTTGGTAGAATGCTTGCCTAGCAAACCCAGAGGCACTGGGTTTGATCCTCAATAAATGTTTTTTTAAAAAGTGTGCATCTACTACAAAAAAAAAAAAGCTCAAATGCAAACAGTTGCAGATGGAGCTGGGAATTTTTTGCTTAGCTTTTTATTTTAAAATTTTTTTAATTTTTAATTTTAATTTTTTAAAATTCACATTTTCAAAGGTGTTAGTTGAAAAGGTAACTTCTCTATTCTATTAACCCAGTTTGTTTTTCAAACATGAAACTGAAAATAAGAGTTGATGATAACGTACATTCAGGTTTGGTTTTAACTGCCAGGTACAGATTTTCCTTTGCATGGATGAATGTGGAAGCTGTGAATATGAAGAGACTTACTGGTATAATCTAGGCCTGGGGAGCCATTTCTATGACCTGAACTTCATTTCAGGAAACACATGGTTTCTTGTGACCTCACCCACTGGTTACAAATTACGGATGACTGTTAGCTTGAAGTTTTTTTTCTTCTCAGCCAGACAACTACCTACCTGTGCTTCCTGTGCCAACTGCCTCTTTCTTCCAAATGAGGTGACAGAAAGCTGGTTTTAGTCTGAATGTTCTCCATTTCATAGATGGGTGTGTGTGTACAGATAGAATTTTACAATAGGAAGGAATCTTAAGTATCATCAAATACAAGTTTCTTGTGTTATAGATAGACCCTACTTTACAGAAGAAAGTATAATAGTCCTCCCTTATCTGCAGTTTCACTTATTGAGGTGTCAGTTACCTGTAGTCAACTGTGATCTGAAATTATGAAATGGTATAAATGGAAAATTCCAGAAGTAAACAATTCATAAGTTCAGATAACTTTTATTATAGTATATTGCTATAATAATCTATTTTATTAGTTAATATTGTTATTCTCTTTCTGTGCCTAATTGTATAACTTAAACCTTATCATAGGTATGTATATATAGAAAAAAAACCACAGCACATAGGGTTCAGTACTGTTTCGGGTTTTAGTTATCCACTAGGGTTTTGGACCATATCCCCCATGAACAAGGGTGTTTACTATACCAACTATTTCATCTTGATATTCCTCATAAAACCAAAGTCTTTTAGAAAAGCAATGGTTTTTTTTTTTTTTTTTAAGTTGTAGATGGACATAATACCTTTATTTATTTATTTTTTTATGTGGTGCTGAAGATCAACCCAGTGCGCCTCCTACATGGGAGGCAAGTGCTCAACCACTGAGCTACAGCCCCTGGAGCAGCAGTGATTCTTAGACTTAGTCTAATGCAGCACAGAACAGTGGATGCTTCTTTATTCACACTGAAAGCCTACTTGCAAAGGCAAGCCTCACTAGATAGCAACAGAAGTAGCCAATTTTCTTAGTTGCAGATTAAAATTTAACCAACTCAGTGGGCATCCTGAAAGTTGAAGGTAGAATAGAAGCCTTGGTAACCCTTTATGTATGTCTTTGAATAGTAAAATTAAGAACCCTTACCACCAAGTATAACAACACAAGAACTTCAAAAACATTGGTTTCATTGAGGCAAATAAAAGTGAAGAAAATACTGAAACTATCCAGCAATACAACAACTTCATTTTACTGTTGAGAAAACTGTATAAAGACTATGTGCCTGGATCAAGACTACACACCACAATTGTTGCATGAAATGTAATAACTCAATTAGAGCTCAAGGTTCTGGGTGCTGGTCTAGAGCTACTTCTAATTTTCTAGCTGCTGCCATAACAAGAAACTCTCCTCCTTAGACAGAAGTTCTATTCTTTTTTTCATTTCCTAATCTGTAAAATGGGTATATAAATGGCAACTACCCAAGGGGACTTCTATGGGTATTAAATATGGTAGACAATGCAGTTTAAGCACTTTTAACACTCTCTAGCACAAAGAGAACTGGTATATATAGTTCCCCAAGGTGTAACTCACTGAATGATACCTACCTACCGTTAGACAGCTGTGAAAGACGCTAATAAATACATAAATAACCCTGATCTTGAGTGGTTGGAGTTCAGCTAAGAGAACATACTTGGCAGCCTCCCTTGCAATCAGGAATGACCCCAACGCAATGAGCGGAAGTTGGTGGACAGTACATCCAGGAAATCTTTTCAAGGATGTTAAATGAAACAAACATTGAGCTCAGGGCAAATTACTAGTTATAGAGACAAAATTCGAGTTTCTAACTTTGTGCCAGGATCCTCAGAGCACTCCCGGGGTTGCCTGTAACAACACTGCGTGCTGCTGTCAGTTCTTTCTCCCATATGCCAGGCATACATTAAACACTACCATGGGTTGTCATCGTCCGTGACCCCCTGTCACAACAGTCAGGGCAGGGGGATTTCGGCCCCATTCTAAAGCTGAAGCTCTTTGCTTCTCTAGTCTTTTGAGTTTTAAAGAAATGGCTATAAATATAACAAGATTTTAGACATAAATTGAAGTGCTGTACAAAAAGCCCCGTATTGAAAATAAGGAGTCTAGGGCCAGCTGTGCCAGTGAGTAGCTGTGTGACCCTGGACAAAACATCTCCGAGTTTCGTTGCTTCTGTAAAATGAAAAACTGAGCCAGGCTTTGAACCGCGCGGCTGCTTCTATTCCTCAAATCACAAAATGTCCAAATGGCAGCAGAGACCACAGGGGAACCCAATAAGGCGGGAAGGCAGCCCCGCCCTAGTGTAGGCCGCGCCCGGGAGTGACCCGGAGGCCGAGGGAGGAGCGTCCACCCCGCCAGGCGAGAGCGCGCCCTTGAGCCGGAAGCGTGCGCCCGCCGCGTGTGCCCGCGGTTACCTGACAACGCCGCGTCCTCGGCGCCCGCGGGCAGCGTGGCTAGGGGCGGCAGCCACAGCAGCAGCCACCATCGCCCCGACAGCGGCCGCATCCCGCCGCGGCCCCGGCTCCGCGCGGCCCTAGCCCTTGGGGGCCGGTTCCGCCCAAGGCGGTGGAGATGGCGCGCGCCCCTTAGGAGCCCGAAGGGGCCCAGGAGGGGGCCGGAAAGGGGGCGGAGCCGGAGAGGGGGCGGGAAGTCGGCCAGGGGCGGCGGCGGAGCCCCGCCTCCTCGGGTTCTCGCGTAGCCAGCCACCTCTCCCTTCGCCCCAGGCGGTGTCGCCTTGGCGTCTGGTACCCGGAAGCAGGCTGCAAAAAGGGAGCGGGTTGTCCGTGAGTGTTTCCTACAACATGACTGATCCGTGACCTGTGGAATTTGGGGGCCCAGGTCTCCAAGAGCTCGTGCGTGACAACTCAGAAAGGAGAAGGCCCTAGCAATCCCCTTTTTATAAATAAAAGCCAATTTATTTTGTTTTACCTTTCAACGTGTTAAAAAAAATATATATATATATATATAAATTGTGATTGGTCTTTAAGAACAGACCTTCAAGGCCCTAGAAACCCACTAATGTAATTTAATATCCCACACAAGTAGAACAAGAAGTCATTTTCTCTTTAATTCTGGCCTACTGCTGAGATTCCTTAGAGAACCCAGTGTGTCAGAAATCATCTTCTTAAAAACACTTAAAGCTTCATTTTTTCTAAAGGTCTGAATAGGGTAGATTAGGCTTCCCTAGCCTAAAGGAAGGTTTAGCCAACTGCCCTTAAACGTTTCCTTGGCACCATGTGTATACTAGATATGACGTTCAAAAAGTTCAGAAATTTTCTTGTAAAGGACTCTTCCAGGGATGATTTTTTTTTTTTTTGTTTAAGCCATCATTACTTGAATTCTCAGTGTCTGGCCCTTAGGATCTGCCTCCAGATAAACACCAGAGACCATATCCAGTTCTTAAATCCTAAAGTTCCCTGGTAAGGTATGCACTTGGCTCATGCAAGACAGCGCTTTGACCTAACCACATTCATTCTGATTTGGCTTAATTTTGTATGGCACTATGCAAAGTGATTAAAATACCATTCTATACCCAGCTACAATATCTTTTTAAAAAAACAAACAAACAAAAAAGACAAATGTTGCTTTTCTCCCATGCCCAGAAAATGTTCAATACAAGAAATGTTAAAAGAAGTCATTTCCACAGAAGGAATATGATGGCAGATGGAAATTTGGATTTATAAACAGAAATAAATAGCTCTAGAAATGACAAAAATGAAAAGAAATAAAACTTTGAAATTATTTTAATCATTTTCAAAGACAACTATCTAAAGCAAAAGTAGTTGCAATGTGTTGAGATTTATATCTTTAGGATTAAAATGTATGACAACAATACTTCAAAGGATGAAAGAGAAATGTATATACTATATATAGTAAGGTTCTTATACATGAAATAATTTTATAGTACATGAAACTATATTATAATAAGTAAAAGATTTATATTGTAAACCTTAGACCAGCTCTCTCTGCTTCCAGTTGCCATGAGCTGAGCAGTTTCCTCTGCCATGCTCTTCTGCCATCATGTTCTTCCTCACCTGTGCCCCAAAGGAATGGAGCCAGCCAACCATGAACTGAATGCTTTGAAACCATAAGCCAAAACACACTTTTTCTTCTTTTTTGTTCTTATTAGGTATTTTGGTCAAAGTGATGAAAAGCTGACTAACACAGACTCTGATCTCTTCAAATCTCTGTTCTGCTATAAATCTTTCGGACTTCCCCTTTTACCCACCAGCCAGAAAAACTCACTGCCTTTCAGGGCACTGATGGTTCCCACAGGCCTATCAGGAAATTTCTCTTTTGCTACATAGTATAGGTCTTTACTGAAGTGAGATTTCATTGCATGGATAGGTTCTAGTCACTGAAGAGTAGATGATCATATAAGAAGAAGTGTCACTGAAAGGTCATTTTTATAATTCTGCTTACCACAACCACTAAGAAAAAACAATACAATGCACAGTTGTAAATAACTTTAAAATCATCAGTGCATGATACATCCCTATTTCAGATATGTTAAAAGGAGAGAAAATGCATTTTAGTATCAGCAAAATATATTCTTCCCTATTTATTACCAATATTATTGATATATAATAATTTTAAATGAGAAAACAGAAAGGAATTCATCTAAGGGAAGAGAGCTGATCAAAGTTTGTACCTGGAGTTACTAATACTAAAGGCTTTTACTTCATCTTTGATATAAGACTGCCAGCCTGAGAAACCAGATATTGGGTTTTAGGAAAGGTTTTAGGAAAGGCTGCCCTCTCCCCCTATTTCTTCCCTTTCCTTTCTTATCATCTTACTATCTGCCAAGGCCCAACAGGGTTTTCTGTACTTAAGCACCCTTCCCCACAATAACTTATGGGCACAATAGAAAGGGAAAGAGAATGCTGAACATTTACAGGCACTATTGATGTGGTCCTGAGAGTTTCCTTAACAGTGCTCCATGGTTAGTTTGTGATCAGAGAGAAGAACCAGCAGAAAAACTTTTGAGAGGGAATATACTGGTGCAACATTTCAGGAGAATAACTTAACATATGGCAAAATCCTTAAAAAATTAATGCATTTTGACCAGTAATCCCTCTCCTGTAAATTAATCCTTAAAAACAAAGACATCATTGTAGGAGAAACAAAAGAAAGAAATATTAATCACAGCATTATTTATAATATCAAAAAGCATGGAAGTCGGGCTGGGGTTATGGCTCAGTGGTAGAGCACTCGCCTAGCATGTGTGAGGCCCTGGGTTAGATCTTCAGCACCACATAAAAATAAATAAATAAAGGTATTGTATTCAACTACAACTAATATATATATATATATATAGAGAGAGAGAGAGAGAGATAGATAGATATAGATAGATAGATAGATATATCTATATATATATTTTAAAAAGCATGGAAGTAATCTTTATTTTCTATAATACTATTAAATAAATTGTGTTTTAAATATTTTATAAAAACCTAGACCAAACACTACACTATCTTAAAAAGCAATGTAATTCATCAACTAATAGTGAAGATAAAATGGAATAATAAAATGACCTAAAAGGAAGCAAGAATACAGGGGGTAAAGGTTAGAAAATAAATTGAAAAATAGAAAACAATTAAAAAGATGGTAAATTTAAATTCTACTATATTTATAATCACATAAAATGTAAATGGCCTCAATACCCCAATTAAAAGGCAGACATTGTCAACTAAGTGTATTTATGCAATCTACCAAAAAAAAAATGGTCTACAAGAAACCCTGAAATATAAGGATTTAGACAAGTTAAAAAGAAAGGATTGGGGAAAGATATGCCATATGAATACCAATCAATAGAAAGATGAATTATTATATTAATATCTAAATATTAATATCTAAAGGTAGATGCTGATGCCAAGATAAGGAATATTATTTATAAATCAGTGGATCAAGGTGGGATCTGAGAGTCTGTGTTTCTAATAAACCATCTGGTCCAAGGATCAATCATAACTTGGGCAGCAAGTCCTTAAAATCCTAGGTGGATATATAAATTGGCAGCATAAAAACAGATGGAAGGACTTTAAATTAGAGTTTGAAAAGTATTACTTACTGCACTATGCCCCATAGATGTTTACAATGGTAAACTACATATTAAATACAGTCATATGATGCAGAGTGATGTTTTAGTCAATGATAAACTGCATAAACAAAGGTATATATATATAGCCTAGATGTGTAGTAGGCTCTACCATCTATATTTGTATAAATACACTCTTTTTTTTGTGTGTGTGTGTGTAGTAATTTACATTTTTTTTAATTGTTGGTCGTTCAAAACATTACATAGTTCCTCATACATCATATTTCACAGTTTGATTCAAATGAGTTATGAACTCCCAATTTTATCCCGTATACAGATTGCTGYATCACATCAGTTACCCTTCMATTGATTGACATATTGCCTTTCTAGTGTCTGATGTATTCTGCTGTCTATATTATTCTCTACTATCCCCCCTCCCCTCCCCTCCCCTCCCCTTTTCTCTCTCTAAAATACACTCTTAAGATGCTCACACAATGACAAAATTACCAAATGATACATTTCTCAGAACATGTCCCAATTAAGTGACACATGACTGTATTTTAAAATTCCTACAGTAAAGAAACATTATAAGGCAGCCTCTAAGATGGCTTTCAATGATCCTCTCCACCTCTTGGTTATCATGCCCTTATATAAGTCCCTCCCCTTAAGTGTGGGCTGGAAATATTGACTCACTCCTAATGAATAGTATGTGGAAGAAATGATTAAATGTCACTCCCAAGATTAGATTATAAAAGATTGTGGCTTCCAACTTCAATATGTGAGCGCTCTTCTCTCTCTCTCTCTCTCTCTCTCTCTCTCTCTCTCTCTCTCTCACACACACACACACACACACACACAATTTCTTGCACTGAGGAAAGCCAGCTAACATGCTGGGAGGGGCATCCCGGTGGCAAAACCTAAATGTGCAAGTGGGTTTTTTTCCAGTAAGAGCCTTGAGAAGATTTCAGCCCTGACTGACACATGGATTGCATCCTTGTAAGAGACCCCAAGACAAAACAACCTATTTTATCTGCTCCTAGATTCCTAACCCTCAAAAAGTGTGAGAAAATATGTTTATCATTTTCACCTAAGACTTAATTTGTTATGCAGCAATAGATAGCTAATACAAAACTAGTATAACTTTCCCAACCCAGTGTTTAAAACCAAGGATTGGCTTGTTTTACCCTTCTAATTCTGTATCATTTCCACTAATAATCTTTCTTGGGTATTGAGAAATTATAGGTGAAACATTTGGCTTTTGTTTGTACTCCATCAACGTTTAAGCCATAATAATTATTTTTCCCAAATAAAATCTCTGAACATCCTATGCACACAGTTTAGAAAAACACTATACTTAATCTTTAATAAAGATTTTGAAGTCAAATTTCAGCTATATAAAGAGTTACAGAGTGCTTAGGCCAGAATATCAGAGGTGTTAATAGGTGTGCAATATGTCTAAGCTTTGTGTTGACAATGGTAATGACATAAAAAAGACACTGAGGAGGAGGAGAAATACAGGAAGAAAGAATCGAAAATGTAGTCAGCTTTAGGGAGGCTCTGGGGTCC